ATGTTTGGCTGTCCACCTCTCCCTTTCCCCCTCCCCTGGGGTCCGAACTCCGTCAAGTGGGGGGCCCACGGGGGGGGGGGGGGCGGGCGAGCTCAGGTGTGTGTGCGTGTGGTCTCTATTGCACGTTGACCTCTCCGACCGGGCTCCGCCGTTTTGGCGACCAGCGTGCGGAAGCACGCTGCCTTATTCTCAGCCCGCTCAGGGGCTAGCGATGTCAAGATATCCGCCGACCCCTTGTGGGTCTCTAGGCGTGTGAGATAGTTCCCCCCCTATAGTCCCCCCCCCAGGGACCCCAAACCGGCGATTTGACCCCCCCCCCCCGGCCCCCGACGAGCGACTCACGGGGCATTTTTGGGCCCACAAAAGGCTCAAGACCAGTCAAGGAGGCCCCAAGACGCTTCCAAAACGGCTCACGAGGGCCGCGAGACGCCAAACGAGCGCTCCAAGACGCCCAAGATGGCCCCAAGGCGAGCTCAGAGGCCTCCAAGACGGCCCAAGAGGCCTCCAAGAGCAACCCTCAGGAGGGCCGAAGAGCCGGAAATTATGACATTCCTATGGGAGAACGTACATTTCCATAATATTCGATTTGTCGGCCTTCACGGCGTTGAAGACGGTCTACGAGCACTCCAAAACCGCACCAAGAGGGCCCAAGAGGCCCCCAAGAGGCGCCCAAGTCGGCCCAAGAGGGCGCCAAGACAGCCCAAAAGGCCCAAAAGACGGCCCAAAAAAAACCCAACACGTCCCCAAGAGGGGCCCCAGAGCGCGAAATTAACGAAAATATGAAACAAAAAAAAGAAAATACAAAAAAAAAAAAAAAAGAAAAAATAAATCAAAAAAAAAAAAAAACATATGAAAGAAAAAAAAAAAAATAAAGAGAAAAAAAAAAAAAAAAAAAAATAAAAATGTAGAAATAAAAAAAAACAAACACCAAAGACAAAAATAAGAATGAAAAATAAATAATAAACTAAAGAGAAAATATAACAAAAAAAAAAATTAAAAAAGAAAAAAAATAGCCCCGAACCGACAATCCGAGCCTTCCGCCCCAAGCCAACCGCAGAAGGCCCCAAGAGGCCCCAGGAGATCCCCAAGACGCCCCCAAGAGGCCCCAAAAGGCCCCGAAGAGGCCCCAAAACAGCCCCAAAACGGCTCTAAAACGGCCCCAAAGAGGCCTCGAAACTGCCTCCAAGATTCCCGCGACAAATCCCGCAAGAGATCCCGGCGCTCTCGAGGCCAAGAACCAATAATCCATGACCCGATAATTTCCTCCGTGCCCCCCTCCTCCTCCTCCTCCTCACCGTCCTTGTCAACCTCGGCCCCCCAGAGCCTCATCTCAGTGTCCTCCTCCTCCTCCTCCTCCTCCTCCACCCTCTCCTCGTTTCCCTCCTCAGCGTCCCCCTCCTCTTGTTCGTGGCCCGCTTCACCTCGTCATCTTCGATGTTTATCCCCCGCATCCTCCGCCTCATCCCCCATGCTCCTGTCCACGTTCTCCTTTTTCCCCCCAGTGCGGGCGCCCGATGCGCCATAATTTGCACGTCTTGCACTTCAGGGTGCCTTTTTGGGCGTCGCGCGGGACATTGTGCGGGTCGGGGAACGCCGTCTTCGGTAGTCTTCTCTTGCACGCGCCACTGCACTGATACGCCTGGCAACTACGGGCTGTGAACCCGAGTTCCTTGCAGCCTCCGCACGCCACTTTCGCTCCTTTCGCTCCTCGGTGATCTTCCACTTGCTTCGGCTTCAAATGTTTCGTGTCCGAGAACGCTCCTCCGCACGCCGCGCGCATGAGCGGCCTCGCGTCCGCCTCGGCTTTCCGTTTCTTATTATTCGATTCGCGCGTCGTCCTGTCACGTTCTTCCGCGCACTTCCGACACAACCTCTCGCACGCTGTGTTGTGCTTCTTCTGGGCTTCGGACATCTCCGCCTTTTCGTCATACAGCGAAAGGCACTTATCGTTCGTACATCGCACTTTTCCGACGCTCTCGTTCCACTTCGCGTTGGCGCTCCGCGACTTCTGTTTGCTTTTGACATGGCTGCACTTCGCGCAGTACATTGTCCTAATTCTTTTCGTCTCCCCGTAGTCGGCCGCCGCGTCCGCGCTCTCACCGCTACCGCGGCGTGCCGCGTTGTCATTCTCTGCTCTCGTTGCCCACCCTCTGCACGTTTTGCACCATTTCTCGTCAGCGTTTTTCATCTCTTCCGTGCACTCTTTGCAGAACGCAGGCCTGTCCTTCCTCTGGAACTCGTACTTCGTGAACGCCTCCGCCAACAATCTCCGCCGGCACCGCTCGCACTGGTCACGTGGCATTACTTCCGCCTCCCATTCATCCCAATCGACGCTCTCCCCTCGTAGCACCTGCAACAGTTTCTTCGCGCCCTCCATCTCACCTGCGTTGTGCGGTCTCCTATCGAAAGGCCGGACAATCAGAAGATCCTCTCTCTTGCGCACGCGCGTGATGGCAACGTAACTTCACGTCCAACTCACGCCGCGCCCTCTTTCAAGGTCTGCTATCACTGCGGCCATAGTCCGGCCCTGCGCAGAGTGCGCCGTCACTGCCAAAGACGGGGTTATCATAAACTGCATGCGCCTCACACTCAACACTGGATGCTTCCGATACCCGTCCAAGAACCATTGCCGCCCTTACGATGGGAAGATCGGATACAGCCCTGGCTCCCGCCCTGGCAGGTGCCACTCCTTCGCATGGAAGTCCAACACTATCACTCTTGGTAGGTGCAACAACACCTCCTCGTCTTCATATCCAACGACCTCGTCCTCGTGCAACACCCATCCATGGATCGTCGCTGCGCGCCCCCGCAGAAGCTTCTTCTTTGATCTATCCGGGTGATCTCCCAAAGCCACGGGCATCCCTTTGGCCAGTGGCAGCCACCCGGGCAGGCTTGCGCACTCCTTCTCGTGGTACCCGAGCCAGCGTACCTTATCCTCCACCGTGTACGGCCGCCTCTGTTCCCCCCCATGGCAAGGGCGGTCCCTGGCTGCGACCCAGAGCAACTGTTCCCCTCGCTCTTTGGCCCACTGCACAGCTCTCTGCTTCCCAACGTGGCAACGAATGTCCTGGTTCGCATAAATGGCGACAACTTCCACAAATTGTTCCTCCCGAAACCGCGCGTCTTCTGGCGACGTCGCGACGAGCTTCCTCTTCTCCCGCTCAATTTTGCATGCCTCACACACCAACTCGTTTTGCTTCGCAATTGCATCCCTGTCTTCGAGACAACGCGCGTTCCCGCACAGCGGCGCCCCGTTCACCCACGACCCCAGAACATCCGTCGGTCTGCCATGCAAAAAATTATGCGTGCGTTCAGACAACTTTCCTCGGCGAAACTCATCTTGCACTCCAAGAAACCAGTCATCCTGGTCCTCCACGCGCTTGCACTCCGTCAACTCCGTCATTCCCTGCACTGCGCCTTCGCCACCCGCTCCCCAAAAGATATGCTGTCCGTGGTCCTCTGTGGCACCCGGCGCGTATTTCCTCGCTTTTTTCAAATACGACGTGGGAAACGCGTTAATGGCAGTCCCCGATGGCGGCTCCAATTGATAGAAATCCCCGCAGAACAGCACATTCACGCCGCCGAAGGGCCTGGCTATGCCGTCTTCACCTACCTTCGTGTCGCTTGCAGCTGACATGCACGACCGCAAGTGTGAGTCTAGCTCTGCAATGAAGTTCGCGCTGACCATGCTCACCTCGTCCACTATCAGCCACCTCCACTGTGACATACGCTGCGCTGCCACTTCCTTCTTCGTCTTCTTTTTCGACTCCGCGCTCGCATCGCCCCCCGCATTCGCCTCCTTCGTTTTGTTTACACCGAGCCCAAATGCACTGTGAATCGCATGCCCGTCGAGAGCTGACGCGTTTTGTAGCCTGCAACGCTGCCACCTGGAAATCTATGCCGTGCGTCCACCCCAGCTCTTTTTCGAACAGCTCCTTCCGGATCTTGTCTATGACGAAACTTTTCCCGGTCCCCGGGCCACCATGCAACATCCACACGAGGGGTTGCAAATCGGGACGACTCTGGCCTGTTTTCTTGTCGCTCCCAGAACTCGCGAATTCCTGCGCCAACGCTCGATCTGCCACCTTCTCAACGACGCTACGCTGCCCGGCGTTTAACCCGCTATCCGCAAGCCCTTTTCTCCACTTCCGCACACTTGACGCCGTTGCTTTCTTGGCCGCCACCACCTCTGGGGCACCTTCCGCACCGCCCGCGCCGCTGCCTTCTGCGGCCCTCGACGCCGCAGCCACCGCTTGAGCTCTCTTCACTGCCGCGTCATCCCACCTCAACACACCGCCCCCTCCGCGCTTCTTGCGCTTTCCGTTCATCCGACCGGTGCTCACGCCCCGCACGGCGTCGCCCCTGGCCATGGCCTCGCGGCTCTTCTCCTTCTCGCACTCCGCATCTACATTTGTCCGCCTGTCCTCGTTCTCCATGGACGTACCTCCCACGCGCGTCTTCCGCCTAGTCGACGCGTCGACAATTCTCGGATCCAATTCTTCATCGCTGCACAGCTCGTCCTCGTGCTTGAAAAGATCTTCGTCCGCGACTGGTCGCAAATCCACCACGCCCATGTAGTTCTGCACGTACCTCTTTGTTTCTTCACATGGCATGCCTTGCTTTAACCACTCCAATGACTCCTCTGCCCACGACCCCTGCGCTCCGCGGAACTCCCGCAGGTGCGGCGCTCCACAGTCGACATCCTCACGGAGCGTGAAGGCTCGGAAATATAACATCAACAAGAGCCCGTTCCTATCCTCCTGCCCCGCTCCGTGTTTCGGCTGCGGCGCCCCATGAAAACTAGGGTTTCTCGGGCGCTCGTTTCGCACCAGCACCCACGCGCGCCTCAAACTTTCCAGCTCAGGAACATCTGGAAAGGGAACCCACGAATAACTCCCACACCCCTCCTTGATCACATAATCCACTCCGGCTTTCAACTGGGGTCCGGCCTGCGCACCGCTTTCGTCATTATCCGCTCTCTGCTGGTCTGCTTCGCGGACCTTCTGAATCCCTGACAGCGTCAGCTCCGCCTGGTAATCATTGCTGGCCGCGGCTGCCAGCTCTGCTCCGCTGCGGGGAAATGCTGCCAACTCGACGCGCCAATATCGCAGGAACTCGTACAACGATAAGTGTGCCAAGTCGGGCGCACCAGGAGCGTCAACCGGGCGCATGCCATACAAGTACACTGGACTCTTAGACACAATTCGAACCTTTTTCGACCCTTCTCGTTTGTCCGCTTCCAGAATCCCCGACGCTGCTACGGTGACACCGCCCCCGTCTGAACAGAGCCGTTCCGCCATGCGCACGGCTTCTGCTCCCGGGATCATGGCTGTCTTCGCAGTCTTGATACTCTCGGCACCAGTCACGTCTCTGCGGTCTCGGTACGCTCGCAGATTCGCACTTTCCTGCGCTGACCGCACCACGCCTCTCCCGTACATGTCACTCAGAACCTTTTCATGTGCCTGCTCGCTCGGTACGCTGCGGTCCTGTCTTTCGTCTGCTCCGCCAGCGCGTGGTGGCCCTTTTTGATCTCCCTCACCTCGTTGAACGACGGGGCACACCGCTTGCACTGATAGTCCGCCGCGTACCCCGATGCTGCATTCTGCGCTCGTTGCGCTGCCAGAACCACGTCTACGGGTCGATCCGTCCCCCAACACCGCTCATCACACACGCAGCTGTCATGCGTCGCTTCCGTCAACGGGAACCTGTGCGGGATCTGCGAGTCGCTGTTAAAATTCAATCCTACCGCGCCGCTTAGCATCGCTGGTAGCTGGTAGCCAATGTCCGACTGGAATAAGCGACCACGGGAGAAGACCCATCAGGCAAGCGTGTCCCGTCCAGGGAGTTCAACCATAGCTTGGCGGACGATCTGGTCAGAAGATAGAATGTCAACCGGTCGCGCACGCACGCCACCAGCTCCGCGTCGCTGCATTTCTGGGCCACCCACAGCGCGATGGCCTGCATGGTTTGGTTCCGCTCCAGAGGGTGCCCGCGCAAGAGAACATCACTGACGAACGCCGGGTTCCCGATGTAGTCCGCCACCGTGCCTGCGCGGGGTGGGCGTGTTCGAATGCTTGTTTGGTGGTTTTGTTGTTTTGTAATGTTTTTTAAGGACCCCCCACCCCCCTCGCCGCGCGCACCCCTAGAAAACCGCCCCCCTGATTTTGCCTCTCCGGCGCTCTTTTCGGCATCCAGACGGCCAAGATGGCCTCCTGGACAGCTTCCAAGACAGCCAAGCTGACACCAAGATGGCCCAACATGGCCCAAGACGGCTCAAGAGGCCCGGAAGACGGCCTCAAAACGATGCAAGAGGCCCCCCAAACGGACCAAGACGGCCCAAGAAAGCTCCAATAAGCCCTCGAGGAGAGCCCGAGGAGGCAAAACCCATGGATGTTCCGAATGTTTTTGTAGGTTTTTCAAGGTTTCGCCTCTTTGGGTTTCCGACCGCCCAAGACGGCCCAAGAGGCCTGCAATTTAGCTCCAAGACAGCCCAAAAGGCCCTCAAAAGGGCCCGAAGTCGGCCCAACAGGACCCCAAGATCGCCCAAGAGGCACCCAAGAGGGCCCCAAGACGGCCCTGACGCGCTCCAAGAAAGCAAGAAGGCACCAAGACGGCCCAGAGAGACCCCCGAGATGGCCTCCGCAGACGTCGGACGGGCCAAGAACCACCTAAAATTGCCCAAGTGGCCCCAAGAGGCGCCCAAGAGGCCCCAGGAGGCCCCCAGGAGATCCAAAAACGGCGCCCAGGAGGCCCCGAAGAGGCAACAAAAACATTGAATTTCAATCGACGTTTGAAAAATTGTGAAGTTGTCGTTTTCTTTTTTGTTGGAAATGTTTCAGCCTTCTTCCTGCTGTGCTGTTGCACAGGCACAGCGGCGGGGGGTGCCGCAGGCAGGAGGATAACCTATCGTAACCAACCATAACCATGCGCTTACCAAACGGAGCCACGACAAGTCAGCGTCGCTTCCGTCATGGCAGGTCGCCCGCAGAGTCCCAAATATTTCCGCAAATGATGGCGCGCGAGATCTCTCTCGAGCGTCCATAGCTGGCTGGCGCTTGTTCATGTACGCTGCCTCGACGGGCGCCATCTGCTTTGCCCCTGATCGCCACCGCGACACCACGTCGGCACTCGCAGCGTGCATCCCGGTTTCTCGTACGAGGCACTCCCCCAGAAAGTGCACGTAGGCAAAAATCAAATGCAACCGATTCTGGACAACCCCAATGCGCGAAGCTAGATCGAAAGCCCATTTCTTGACGTCGCCCCCCAATCGAGTGGAGAAGAAAAGGAATTTGGCTTGCGTGAAGTTCAAGCGCGCTGGTCGGGGCGGGCGCTTCTTGGAATGGCGCATATGGATAAGCTCCGCCTCCGCGACGCACCCGGGGAGATCTCCGTCGGCGGGGCCAGCGTGCACGACGAGAGCGCCACTGTCCGCATCGAGCACGCAAGGGTCATCCAACTCCTCCGGCAAAGCGTCCAAGCCAGCGGCGTCTTCCTCGGTCGGCACGCCTTCTATCGAGCTTTCCTTCTCAACACGCACACACACACACACACCGCAGTTCAGTTGCGAAAGTTCGCCGGCCCAATGGGCCAGGGCGTGCTTAGATCTCCGGTAACTGCTTTACAATAGTTCTAGCTCGCGCGCGCGGGGCGGCCCCTGGGGGTCCCCGGGCCAAAAGAGCCCGGGCAAATCCCGGCAAGGTCCCGGGAGATCCCCGGGAGAGCCCCGGCAAAGTGGGTTCAAGGATGCCGGAACTCTTTTCCGGAGCCAAAGAAGGCTACAGATCGGTCCAAGAGGGCCCCAAGAGGCCCCCAAGACAGTCCAAGAGGGTTCCGAATCACCGAAAACCTGGTCCAAGGCGTCCAAGATGGCCTCCAGACGCGCGAAAAGGCCTCCAAGAGACCTCCCAAGAGCGCCCCCAGGAGCAAAAATTGTTGATTTCCCATTGGTTTTTTGAGGATTTGTGCGTTCTCGCCTTTTCGGCTTGCTGGCGCTCCAAGACGGCCCAAGAGACCCCCAAAATCCCCCCAACACGGCCCAAAAAGCTTCCGAGAGGGCCCCGCGACGGCCCCAGAGAGCCCCAAAACAGCCCCAGACGCCTCCAAGATTGCCCAAGAGGCCCCCAAGACGGCTCCAAGAGCGGGCCCAGACGGGGGACCCGAATGAACGCTTCGAGCTGTCGGCCCCGAGATGTCCCCAGGAAGCCCCAAGAGGCCCCCAAAAGGCTCCGAGAGGCCCCCAAGGGGCCCCCAAGATGCCCCGAAGAGGCCGCCAAGAAACCCCGGGAGATCTCCCAAATACCACCAAAAGGCCCCCGAAAGGCCCCCCAAGATACGCCAAGAAGCCCCCCAAAGAGGCGTCTTGTCCACGATCAGGCTTGACCCAAAATGACCCGAGAAGCAATCGAGAGGCCTTCTCCTCAATATCCTTCTCCCCTCTTCCTCCTCCTCTTCCTCCTCCTCCTCCTCCTCCTCCTCATCATCCTGCTCCTCCTCCTCCTCCTCCTCCTCTTCCTCCTCCTCCTCCTCCTCCTCCCCCCCCCCCCTTCTCGCTCGCCACGAGCACGCCAACATGCAGCGACAGCGATGCAATATGGGCCGGCGGCATGAGCAAAGCGATTAAATAACTCGTCTAAAATTGCATCCGCCGTCGCGCTTGTAGCAGTTACTGCAGCGTGGTATCTGCCCAGCAGGTCAAGGAAAGAAACCGGAGCACTTGCTACTGCATGTTTCTTGCACGCATTCGGGTTGTCGAGCGGGGCACCGCGTTTCTTCAATTCCAACAGCTGCCACGGTCGCTGTTGGAATTCTAACGCGCGTGAATTCTAACCCTTTCGCATGGTCCACAGACTTGCTGGGCAGTTCTTTGCGATGTACTTTCCGGGCCCCCTCCGGCAAAACATTGTCTTCGACAATGGCCTGGTTCGCATGTGGCGGCGGTGGAGTGACAAACCAATTGCGGGCCCCGCTGTGCTCTGCGCTCTGTATCATGCCCGCGTGGCCCACAACCAAGAATCCTCCGCGCCGACCCCGTGGCATTTAGCTTCGCCCCCGCTCGCTGGAGGGGAGGGCACGATTTGTTCACACCCTTATCGCGTGAGCCTCCTGAGGCCCTTTTGGAGCCTCCATTTGCGTGCACGTTCGGTGCCCTCTTGGGGCCTCCGCTTGGGTGCACTATCGGGGTCATCCTTATCGCGTGGGCCTCGTGAGGCCCTCTTGGGACCCCCATTCGGGCGCGCGTTTGGTGCCCTCTTGGGGCCTCCATTTGGGTGCACTCTTATGGTCATCCTTATCGCGTGGGCCTCCTGAGGCCCTTCAGGGCCCCCCCATTTGGGCGCGCGTTCGGTGCCCTCTTGGGTCCTCCATATTGGGTGCGCTCTTGGGGTCATCCTTATCGCGTGGGCCTCCTGAGGCCCTCTCGGAGCCCCCATTTGGGTGCACGTTTGGTGCCCTCTTAGGGCCTCCATTTGGGCGCGCTCTCGGGGTCATCCATATCGCGTGGGCCTCCTGAGGCCCTCTTGGGCCCCCCATTTGAGTGCACGTTTGGGTGCGCTCCTTTCATGCGAACGACTGACGTAGGCTTCGACAGAACAACCCGCCTGTTCATGCGACCGACCTACCCTTTTCATACGAACGACTCACCCCTTTCGCACGAACGACCTGGGAATTCATACGGACAGCCCAGTTTAACCATCAGCGGGGAATCCAGTAAACAAACAAAGATCTATGGAACGGCCGCTCTGCTCTGCTCTTCGCCTTCTCCGGGTGCCCCCCCACTATTTTGCAGAGGGCCGGCAGAAGCCACAAGGCATCAGAGAATTCGCGGAGAGCGCGCGCTGGGAGAAACTCCGCGGGCGCACCTTGCGCGGACTCAAAGACCACCCGAGGCTTCGAGAATACTACATAAAACGACCCTTCAACAGAACCTGAACACGGGAGGTCGCGCCCATTTGCAGGAACACGGGAAAAGCTCCGCAAGGCTCCTGCAAACAGGGGGACCCCCGCGCCCAGGTCAGTGGAGGTGCGGGCCCACTCTTTGCAAAATACCGCCCCCTCCCCCGTCAAAAAGGAAGAAGGGCCGCCCGGCGACAGAGATGACGACAACGGCTCCCGCCAGCTGCCGCCGCGCCCGGCGGCGCGCGGACGCAGGCGGGCGCACGGCTCGGGCCGCGCGGGCGGGGGGGGGGAGGGAAGCGAGGGAGGAGGACACAGACCTTCTCGCGTCGTGAAAAAAACACGGCGGGCGGTTTTTGGCTAGCGTCGGCCCCTGGAGGCCCTCGACGGGCCTCGGGAGCGTCGCAGAACGACTCGTAGTGAAAAAATGGTCCCGGGGAAGATCTCCGGACCTCTGGGCGCCGACGCTGCGAAAAAACACGACGATGTGGGAGGGGGACAAAGATGAGGGAGGAGGACGACGAGGAGGATGGGAGAGGAAGGAGAGGACCTTCCCAGAGAGGACCTTCCCAGGGGGTAGTTTTTCCCCCTGAGTCCGTTTTTGATGTCCCCGGAGTTCGAACACGGCCCCCCGAAGGCCGAGAAGGGGGGTGCAAGAAGCCCCTCCTTCGCCTCATCCCCCTCTCTCCTCTCCTCCCCGAATTACACTCAAACCGAGCCCTGGGAGAAAATCTCGGAACCTTGAGGAGCCCGCGGATCCGAAAACGAACGACGACGGATACCTCAAGTCGCGGAGAGGACGACGATCGGAGGAATAAAAACTTCGGAGAGGTCAAGCATTCGAAAAAGCGCAAGATGGAAGAACAAACGGTGGAATGTAAGCCACCGTACACACGGCCCGATGGTACGAACGACATCGGAATCCCCAATCCCACCCATTCCCTAACCCGCCGAGCCCTGGGGGGCTCGAGTCATGTGAGATCCTTCCACCCCTACACGCGAGCAGCAGCACCACACAGCACGAAGCCCCGACTGGATCAAGGGCCCGTTTGCTCGCGCACCATCTTCACCCCAAAACAACCAGAGATAACTCAAGATAGCCCCATACAGAATACAAGCAACAACGCAAACCATCACAAAAAGTTGAAAACCCCGTGCTCGAGCACCAGGTGCGTTCCAAGATTGACCAGGATTGTCCCAAAACCCGTGCCAGCGCAAACGCGCTACATCAAAGAAACTCGAAACCGCAGAGTTTCTTATGATATGGCGACGTCTGCTGAATGCGGCGCCGTACGCTTGAGCACCATATGAACCCAAAAATACCACCCGAAAAACCAAAGATAGCCCGAGTAACCCATCCCAGCACTAGCACACTCCAAATGCGGAAACTAAAATAAAAAGGGGTCGGCGGATGTGGCGTAAGCCTAAAGAATTCTTCCTGTAGAGGGACAGGCCCGACTGAAGTCTTCTCGCGCGTTTCACTCGAGGGCCGGGCCCTGGGCCAGCTGGCAGCGGCCTCCCGAATGGGGCCGGAAGACCTCGCCGCACCGCCGGCACATCGGCGATGCATCGGCGATGCCTCGACCATGCACCGGCGACGCCGGCGACGCGTTGGCGACGTCGGCGTCGAGAAGATTGGGCCCCACATCGAGCCGCATCGGCGACGCATCGCTGGCGCGACGCGAGCCTCCGACCTCATCTGCTCCGACCCCATGTATAGGAGGCCTAGAGCTGGGCTGCGCGTGTCCCACATGGCCACTCTCTCCTCGACGGCCCTTGCCCCGCCGTCCTGGCGGGCGGCACCGCGTGGTCCGGCGGGGCCCGGCCCGCGGTCGGGCCCCTCGGGGGAGTCCGGGGGGGCGTTCTCCCGGGACGTCAAGGAGCCCACGGGCTCCCCCCGAGCCGCTGGGGGGTCCTCCGCCAACGCTGCTGGTCCCATCGTGCGGATCGTCTGGGCCGCAAGGTCCCCCCCCCCTCCGTCCGAAGCGGGGCATTCCTTGCTGACGGGACCCTTCTGACTTCATACATCCTTCTGACTACATACATCCTTCTGACTTCTACCACCACGCCACCTTTCCCGTTCCCTTTCCCATATCTCGCGATGGCCGGTACGCGAGCGCCAGGGACCCCAGTTCGAGGAGTACTTGAGCGAGACGTTCGCCAACGCTTGTTCAGCCCACTTCACGAGATGGACGATCTCGACCTCTCCCCTCCCCGACCGGAGGTGCACGCGATGGCAACTCCTACGACGTCGGAACAGCAACAACAAGGATCAGCTCCTGAGGCGGCCACGCTCGCGCAGATCGCGGCCATCATGAAGCAGGAGGTTCAGCCCCTACGGAATGCAATTTCTGGGGTGCAGCGCAGCGTGGCAGATCTTGGGAAAACCTTCGAGGCGAGAATGGGCGCGACCGAGGAGAGACTAGAAGATATCGACATCCGTCTGACGACCTTGGAAAACACGATCCCCATGGCCCCCGAAGGATCTTACTCAGGATCCCATGCGACCGAGGAAGTCATGAACCACATCAAGGCGCTGGAGATCGAGATCGCCGAGCTGAGGAGCGCCGCCGGCTCCATCGGCTCCATTGGCACCACTTCCAAGCAGGAGACTGCCGTATTTGGCAACCTCCTCGGATTTAGCGGCCAGGCGGAGGCAGAGAAATGGTTGAAGGACCAGCTCTGGTGGTACAATGCCCCGTCCGCCGACGAGTTCTACTCAAAGGAGGACTTCTTCTCGGGCATTCTCTTCGGCAAGTTTGCCTCCACGGCCGATCGAAACTCTGCAATATCAAAGCTCCGAGCCGCGCGTGTCTATTTGGAGGACAAACCAGTCTGGGCAAAGGCGGATGCTCCTCTTGAGGTCCGGGTACCCCAATCCGTTCTGTTCAGCGCGAAGAAGCTTTTCGTTTCGTGGGGCTTCGAGAAGGGAGCGTTCTGGGTGGACCCGGAAGCGGGCACGATAAAGATGGGGCCCGACACCGTGATGGAGGCGAGCGTGACGACGGGAGCGTTGAAGATCAAGTACGGCGACGGTTGGGAGCAGTACCTCAGCGCAGACCCGGAGTGGCAAGGGCTTCTGAAGACGCACTCAGACAAGCTCCTGCGCAGCGGCACGGGCAAGGGCAGCGGTAAAAGGGGCAAAGGCGGTGGTAAGGCAGGACAGCAACAGCGAGCTGGAGATCCGGTTCGCCCTCCACCCGCCCCGGCAGCTGCAGACGGTCGCAGCTAGGGACAACACCGGTCGAGGGGAACAGGAGACGTTTCACCAGAATTCAATGTTAATCCAAATTTTGACGTTTACGGCAAAAACGCACGTGTACATACCCTTGATCGGCTAGGGCTTTTGCTTGGGGAGCTTTCGGAACTAACATGGGATGTTGTTTGTTTTAGTGAGACCCGTGCAGCGTCTGATGATATTGATCTCGACGGGGGTCACCGCTTCATAGCGGCAGCGGGCTCGTCTATATACGCTGGGGTGGCTATCTGCTTACATGCTCGGCACGCGGGAGGTGTCACAGCCACGCGTTCGCGATTTGGCCGTGTGCTAGCAGTAGATCTGGGATCTGATCACCGTGCGGTGCACGGGACGTTTAACCTAGGCCCAAGTTTTCGGCGCCAGAAGAGCCGTCAGCACGATGCAATTCGATGGAAACCTTCGCTCAATGCCGAAGGCCGCGATTTGTTATATGAGAGCTTTGCGCAGGAATCTCTCTCTGAATCTAGGCCGTCCTCTTTCTTTGCGCTGGAGGATCACGTTGTCGCCGCAGCCAAGCGGGCTGGAGCTCGAAGTAACGCAACTCGCTCGCATGCGAAGCCATGGGATGCACCTGAGTTGCGAGAGATGCGTCGACAGCGACGCGATGCATGTGACCCAGAGGAACGGTCCAAATTGTCCAAGCAGCTTTTCCGACTGCACCGGAAACGCATGCGGGAGTATTGCGACGAGCGTGCTGCGTCACAGCTGTTGAAATTTGAGGGTATCAAGCACCTACCTCGAGTGCACATGTTCCCTTCGCAGCAGAGCAAGCGTTGTCCATTAGACTGTAATGTTTTTAAAGCTTCGCTCGAACAGATTTTTGCCACGGACTGCGGCA